CATTCCGACTGATTCCTCCAGCCATCTTTTTCTTAGTGATCCCTTCTCTATTCCAGCTGCTTTCTCCCCTTTGTTCATGAGGCAGGCTTCCAGCTATGGAGCAATCTTTCTGTACTGTGTATCTACTATCCTTAGGTGTCAGCCTCATGGAGATCAAACAGAAGTTGGGTGCACGCAAAGCAAGTGCCTGAATCCCTGTACTATCTTTCTAGTTTAACCTACAGGACTTTTAATCAATCTATTCCTTGCCCCACTTGGGAATAGGCAATGTTTACAAAATATATTTATTTATTTATTTTTCTTTTTATTAGTGAAACACCATGAAGTACAGTTGTAGATTTACAATTTTTTGTGCTTGGGTTTCGATTATACAATGATCAAATACCCATCCCTCCATCAGTGCCCACTTTCCACCACCATGGATAATATCCCTCCCCCAAAATAGTTTAATAGAATGCTAAAATAATTGTGTGCATTTGGGAGGGGATTGGGGGGATGATGAGAGTCGTACCTGGCCAGGGCTTACACATGGCTTTGAGCTCAGGGATCACTCCTGGAGGGACTTGGGGTTAACCAAGTCCATATGGGGTTAACCATATGGGGTTAAACCTGGGATCAAACCTGGGTTCGCCATGTGCAAGGCAAGCACCAGACCAGCTGTATTCCAGCCCCTATTTGTGTGATGTTGATTTTTTTTCTTACTCCAGTATATCTGAGTTTTAAACAACTGCCTAAATACAGCTTTTTTAATGGATTGTGTGGACATTGGAATTACACTGTGTGGAACTTGACGTTTCAGTTCCATTAGATTTGTATAGTTAAGGGCCGTGCCTTGTCTTCCAGAAACTGTTGTTTGCTCAGAGCGAAGCAGGAAAAAGCTGCTTGCCTTATTTTTGTGTAGGATTCAAATGCATGTGGTAAGGACCCCATGGGGCACAGTTCTGGATGGATTTTCAGTCCAAGTAGAGCAGAGGAATGTTTACTGACTCTCTACTGTAAAGGCCCTAGCCTCTTTGCTGCATGAAGTAGCTGCCTGGAGGTAATCGTTGACGAATAGTGAGACACCACTGGGGCTTTACCTCTTTTAGTTGTAAATTCATGAATTTGTCTTACTAAATATTAATAATGGACTCTAAGGTTTCAGAAGTCATGGATTATCCAGAAGAAAAATAATACGTCTTTTTTTTTCCCCCTGGCACCAGTTGGTTTGGTTCAAAATTGCCTTATTTGTTGGAGTGGCTAATTCAAGAAAAGTATGAAAAAAACAGTATATTGTCTGAAAGTCAACTCCCTTAATGGAAATAAAATGTAGCTCAGTAATTCTCTTTTTATGTGATCTCATCTAACTTGAGCTTGCTTGCTTGCTTGCTTTCTTTCTTTCTTATTTTTTTTCTTTTTGAGTCACAGCCAGCGATGCACAAGGGTTACTCCTGGCTCTGCACTCAGGAATTACTCCTGGCGGTGCTCAGGGGACCATATGGGATGCCGGGAATCGAACCTGGGTCAGCCAAGACAAATGCCCTACCCTCTGTGCTATCCCTCCAGCCCCTCTTCAGCTTTCATTTTTTGCAGTTCTTAACAAAGCTGAAAACATGAGCATTGGGTTTTTGTTATTGTTGTTGTTAAGGTGTTTGTGGGTTGTTTTTTTTGTTTTGTTTTGTTTTGTTTTGCCATACCAAGCAATGTTCAGGGGCCACTACTCCTAGCTTTGCACTCAGGAATTACTCTTGACACTATTTGGGGGAACCATATGGGATTCCGGAAATTGAGCCCAGGTCAGCTGCATGCAAGGCAAATGCCTTTCCTGCTGTACCATCGCCCCAGCCCCAAGCAGTGGGATTTTATTGGATTTTTCTTCATAATAGACTTCCTTGTCTGTTAAGGATTGTGGTCATCTTTTCTAAAGGACAGAGACTAAGTGAGCTCTCTCGCAATGACAAGACTTAACCCTCTTGCTCCTTATCTATACTCTGGGGTATCGTTTCTCATAATCAGGCCACTTTTTGGAACTGTGCACCATCTTAAGGTACACATTGTAGTTTAAAAGCTCTTGGGGGATAAAAAGCACTCTTCGTTCAGAGCGATAGTACAATGGGTGGGGCTCTTGCCTTAAATCCTCTGAGCCCACCAGGAGTGATCCCTGAGCTCAGAGTCAGGAGTAAGCTCTTGGCACGGTCCCAAACCAAACAGTAAATAAGTAAATAAAAACAAAAACAAACGTTGGGCTCAAGAAATGGGACAGCAGGTAAGTCGCTTGCTTGCCTTGCTTATAGCCGGCCAGGGTTTGATCACTGGGCAGAGTCCACTGAGCCCCAGCAGCAGTGATCCCTGAGCACCTCCTGGTGTGGCCCAGATGCATAAAAGCTCTCTTCAGAAACTGCGGTGCTTTTTAAAACAGTTCGGCTCTTGGGGCAGAATAATAGTACAGTGGATTGGGCATTTGCCTTTCACACGGCTGACCCGGGTTCAATCTCTGGCACCCCATATTGTTCCCCTGAGCCCCATTAGGAGTGATCCCTGAGCATAGCCAGTTGTGGCCCAAAAACAAAAAAATAAAGTTCAGTTCTTTCTAAATTAATTTTTGTGGGGGTGTGGGGAGGAGGCCACAACCAGTTATGTTCAGTGACTGTTTCTGACCCTTAGTAGTGCTTTTGGGACCCTGGGCAGTGCTGGGGTTCAGACCGAACCAGCATCGGGAGAATACAAGGCCAGTAATCACCTTAACCCCTGTACTATCTCTCTGACCCTTAATTTAATTTATTATCTTTGTGTGTTTTTGCCACACCTGACTGTGCTCACTGCTTACTTCTATCTCTGTACTCAGGGATCACTCCTGGCAGTGCTCAGAGACCATTTGGAGTGCCAGGAATTGAACCCAGAAACACTGCATGCAGGGTTAAAATTCATTTCAGGGTTAATGAAATGAATACCTTACCCTCTATACTCTCTCTCTGGTCCCTATTTTAAATTTTGGTTTTTGCATCATAATGGCCGTGCTCAGGTCATACTTGTTCTGCACTCAGAGATTACTTCTATCTGGCTTGGAGAACTATATAGCGGGGTGCCCGGGATTGAACCTGAGTAGGCTGCCTGTGAGGCAAGTGCCCTCTACTATTGCTCTGGTCCCTAATTTAATTTTTTTTTAAATTTTTATCTTTTTGGGTCACACCCGGCAGTGCTCAGGGGTTACTCCTGGCTCATGCACTCAGGAATTAACTCCTGGCGGTGCTCGGGGGACTATATGGGATGCTGGGAATCGAACCTGTGTCGGCCATGTTGGCTGCGTGCAAGCAAACGCCCTACCTGCTGTGCTATCACTCCAGCCCCAATTTAATTTTTTAATATATTTAATTTTATTGTTGTGAGGACACCAAATAGTGTTTCTCAGAGACCATTAAGGTGACACGCAGTGGTTCCAGGAGGGGCATGTGATGCTGGGAATCAGATCTCTTGCCTCACACTTACAAAACCCGTGCTCTGCCACTTGAGCCCCCAGCCCCCATTTGTGCCTTTTAAACATTTCCTACTGCACTGATTTTCTATTCAGCACCCAACTGGGTAGCACCTGCTGAGGGGACTTTTGGATCCATTTAAAAGTTTAATAACGTCATGCTTTTTCTCTGTTGTTTTGCGACCACACTACTTCTGTGTTTCCAAAGCTAATCGGTCTTTTTGTATGTTTACTTTATGCCACTGATTAAAATTGTTTCCTGTCATTCTCTTTGCTGTAAAGATGTGTTTGTTGATTTGTGCTGTTGGTTTCATTTCAAAGCAAAACTGTTTAAGAGCAGGACTAAGAGGAGAAAAAAACGGGAGGCTAGCATGCATCTGTTAGCACTGACTAGCTTTGTCTACCCGAAAGGACAGTGGTGCAGATTTAGGTTAATCATGCAGCTGTGCTGAAATTTTATTCATTGAATGTCCTTAATCTAAATTCATGTGTGCTCGTGCTGGAGTTATGCTGTCTTATTTAATTACAGAGCCAATTTGTTGATGTGTTCAGAAGCAGTTTCCCTAGGTTCTCTGGCTCACGTTTAATTTTCTGTAGGAGAGCTGCCCCAGCAGTGCTGGGGTCCATCAGGACGACACCGGCAGTGCTCTGGGGGCCTTACCATTCCAGGAACTGAATCAGAGCCGTGCATGTCCAGCCCTCTGTGCTGTGTCCTGTCTGGGCCTTCGTTAACTGATTCATCAGTTGTTTTGGTTTACGGGCCTTGCCTGCTGGTGCTCAGGGTTTACTCCTGGCTCTGCACAGACAGGAATCTACTCTGGCACAACCATGTGCAAGGCTAGTGCCCTTCCTGACATCTCTGCTGTCCCTCTGACCTCTGGGCCTTATTTGATTTATTTTAGTTTTTTAAGAATTTATTAATTTTTTAAATGTAATTTGGTACGGGCATTCAGTATTGCAACACCAATCCTACCACCATTGCACCTTCCCTTCACCGTTGTTTTCAATTTCCCCAACCACCCCTTAAGCCTCAAAAATTTATTTGATACTGCTTATTCTCAATAATTTGCTAGCAGAATGATCAAAAATGCTTCCTTAGAAGAAAGTTAGTGAAGATTATTGTTTCTCACCTTGAAGCCATTAAGTCCTTATGTAAGAGATTACTAAGATGTTGTTACAGGTTGAGCGCTCTGTGTATATATTTGTTGGGCCTTATTTTAAATGTGTTACTGACTGGCATAAAGATTTGAAACTGAGCTGGAGCGATAGCACAGTGGGTAGGGCGTTTGCCTTGCATGCAGCTGACCCGGGTTCGATTGCCAGCATCCCATATGGTCCCTGAGCACCGCCAGGAGTAATTCCTGAGTGCAGAGCCAGGAGTGCATCGCTGCATCTGACTCAAAAAGCAAAAGAATAAAGATTTGAAACTGGTTATAGTTAGTTTCCTGGTTACTGTTTTTAAAGAGTCATCTTTGAAAGATTGGGACTTTTGGTGTGGTATTGGAAGGACTTCTAAGTTAGATGTTTTTATTATGTTTTCCCTTTCCAGGCGCATGCTACTATGATGCTAATCAGTCTATGTATGTGTTTGGAGGCTGCACCCAGAGTAGCTGCAATGCTGCCTTCAATGACCTATGGAGACTGGACCTGAATAGCAAAGAGTGGATCCGACCTTTGGCATCAGGTATGAGATAATATGCTGACCTCTGCCTTTTTAGGTGATAATTCTTTGTTATGTGGAATTCCTATTTGATGCTTCTTTGGTGTTGGACTCAAGAACAGATTCCTGGGACCCCCCAGTCTTTTTTCAAACATGCTGTATAAATGTTGAGTAATAATGCTACTGGAAAGTCTTTGAGCAGAAAAAAAAAATTGTATATGTATTAGGGATTCCTGCTTCAGAGACCCTCATCCTAGGTGCCTTCTTGCCCTTTTCTCTCCCTTCTGTCCTTTTAAATAGACTCTTCTGACTGCTGAGGGGATGAGGGACACCCACGCACACCCACACACACACACACGCACGAACGTATATGTAGTACTTTCTATTTAGTTTTGGTGCCCTTGCCAAAATTGCTACACTACTGTGTGAACTTACTTGCGTGGTTTTCTCAAGTACTTGTACAGGTGTGATAGGGTTTTTGGTCCCAAGTGAAGAAGAAACTTAAACACAGAGTCGTGAGAACTATCGGTTGACTGACAGAAGCTATTGTCCCAGGGCTAAGATCTCTGAGTATCTTTTGTTGTTTCCAGCTTAGATATTTGGGGAGTGTATAGAACATGCCTCTGCTAGTTACTTTTAATTCAGGAGTGTGGGAAGATTCCATGGTAGGTACATTCCTGTGCAGTTCCACTATGCCAAAACCGGCGGACAAAAACTAGATTATTCTTTCCCTTTTCACTGGTGTGATGGCGCAATTGAGTCCAACAAGTATAAAGTATTTTGCTAGATTTTGGGGGGGGCAGACTTTCCCCAAACATTCTTCATTTGACTTTTCAAGGTTGAAATTCACTCTCACACTAAGGAGACTTGTGTCTTTTGTGGGTAGATTCATTATTTATTTAGGTCTTGATTTACTACTCTGATTACTAAATAGAAGGCAACATGATATATTCAAAAGGGCACTGGGCGAAGGGTGAGGAAACAGGAGTTTCATTTCCTTGCATCATTACCTGTCCTCGGTGTAACTGAAAAAGTTACTACATTTCTCTGGGAGAAATAGGGATTAAAACTAGATACTGTTTTTAAATGGATTGGGAAGGCTAGTTTATGTTTTCTCCTATTCCTGTAACCACGGCTATGAATGTCTTATTCATATGAGAAGAAACTAAATTTTTGCTTCCCTAGTCTCTGACTCCCGGTTTCTTCCCCCTGTAGTAGGCAACCATAAGGCTTGTACTGACAGTGACTACTTACCGGTACTAGGTCATGTACCATGAATTTCTTTATTACAAATATTGGACAGATGATGAAATGTTAGTTTTTTTAAACTTTATTTAAAAAAATTTTTTTGAGGGTTTTTAGGTCTCAGAATTTTAGGACTTGAAGAGTTTCTTCTTTTGATCCTTTGTTCCAGGCTGTGCTTAATGCAATATTAATGTTTAGCATCCTGGATTCTAAACTGCAATCTGTTTTCTGGGTTTTAGAATGCAGTCCTGCTGTGCTTGGTATAAGCCCATTTTCAAGCAGTTTTCGATTGTTCCACTCACAAAGCACAGGTGCTGCCTCTCTCTGTCCTGGAACCACCATTTGTTTTGTTTTTGTTTTGGGGCCATACCTGGCAGTATTCAGGGCTTATCTGTATCTCTGCACTCAGAAATCACTCACTCCTGATGGGGCTGGACGGACCATATGGGATGCCAGGGACCAAACCTGGGTCAACTGTGGGCAAGGCAAGTGCGCTACCCACTGTGCTCTCTCTCCAGCCCTGTAACCAGTTATTACTCTTCGTTTGGAATGGCTCTGGTTCTTCCTTACAGAAATGGAATTTTGGTGTTTGGGACCTTTAAGACCTGTTGTCAACCTCTTTTCATGGTTTTGGGATTTTTGGGTTTGGTACCTCGTACCTCAGCCAGAGCCCATGAACTATTCCTGGGTCAGTGCTTAGGAGTCACTGCTGACTGCTTCGGGGACCAAAACCAGGTTGGCCGCATGGAAGACAAGTGCCTTCTCCTGTGTACTATCTTTCCAGCCCTGTTTTTATTGTCTTTAGTCATAAAGTTTAAAGACCTTTTTGAATCCCCCAGTGAAATAGAGAAATAAGTGGCTTGGAAATTAAGACTTACAGAAATTATTCTACAAAGTGCCTGAGTTTTCAAAAATACATTATTAATTTTTTTCCTTTTATGAAATAACAAATGAATGTTTAATTTCCTTACAAAGTGTCTCAAGAAATCAAGTTGCTGCTTCATCCTAATCCATAACTAACACTTAAGTTTTAGTGGAGGAAAACTGAGCCTTCTTAATGTGTCTTTTAAAAAATAAAAGTAAACAATCGTTTAATGGAGAATCCTGTGAGAGTCTCCTTTAGGCAGAAATCCCATGGGAAGATTGCCTGAGGAAACGTTTCTATATGCTGTCATGATCCCAACCAAAATTGCTTCCTAACTGAAACATCAGTGTGGTTTTCTGAATAGAACACAGTTGTTGATGTGTCTTGGTGCACCTGACTCACCCATTTTAGTCCATGGTGATGGGTAGGGAGGTTGGCCACGGGGACGGTGCTCTGTACTACCCATTCAGTGCCAGTTATGAGGTTTTCTTCCAGTGTTTGAGCCTCTGCAAGAGATGCTATTAGCTTTTAAGAGTTCTCAGTGTTTAAGTGTGATCCTTTGGAAAGCATGAAACAAACTGGACTAGTTAGGGGTGGGAATAGAGGATATCAGTCAAGAATGTCACTCCAGCATGCATCTTTTTAACTTATTTATTTGGATCTTCTCCCGATGAGTCTGGAACACTCAATTTGGTTGATGTCTTTATGAGATCATGCTGCCATGCCAAAGTACCATAGACGGAATTCTTTTTGTTTTTGGCTTTTTGGGTCACACCAGCTCGGGTTACTCCTGTCTCTGTACTCAGGAGTTACTCCCCCACTTCCTCTATTCCCCCCATATCCTCCGCCCACCCTAGAAAGAAGAGCATACTGTTCAGAGACTCAGTGGAAAGCTTCCAGAAAAGAGAAGCCTGTTTTTGGAGTGTTTTAGTACCTCCTTCATTTAAAGAATATCGTGAGTTTGAGGTTTCCTATGTTAGAAGTGTCGTGTGTTAAGGATTGTGCCATTAACCCGTACGTGAACGGAAGCCTGCTGCTCAAGTCACACGTGCTTGAGGCTTTGCTGCCGTCAGCTAACCGAATGGGAAACTTCTGCAAGTTAATTTTAGTTCATCTTGGAACAGTTCAGCTGACAGGGCCCAGAAGCTGCAGGAGTTTTCTTTGTGAAAATCTTTGTGAAAATTTCACAGGGCCTGAGCCAAGCCACGTTTGTCACTTGGGGGCTTGACCCTTCGTAATAGAGAACCTGAAAGCGAATTTCTTAGTGAATGTAGTAAGGAGTAGAGCGGCACTGATGAAGTTGAGGTAGAGACAGGAGCCAGCTCATTTACTCCTGGCTCTGGACTCAGGAATTACTCCTGGCAGTGCTGGGGGAACCATATGGGACGCTGGAGGTCCAACCCAGGTCGGTTGCATGCCGTGAAGCATTTTTTCCTAGGAGTCTCCCCAGGAGTGCTCCGGAGCCAGGGGGCCTCGAGGCGTTGCCAGTAACACTGTGGACTGTGGGCTTGGCGTCCTGCTGCCCTGCCCACTGGTGCTGGGGCACCACGTGGTGTCCAGGATCAGAGCGTGCACTCCAGCTCTTTGGACTCTCTCCCCCTTGCTGCCAGATCACATTTTAAATAACGTTTTATTGCTATAAGTCGAAGTAGACCCCCAGAATAAAACAGAATAGATAGTAGGTATCAAAGTAATATAAGTGAGTGAGAGACCAGTGGTGTGGGCTAGAGTCCTAGGAGTGGGGTGAAGAGTGATTTGAGTGATGAGCCTCTGCCCCTTTTTGTCTCCTAAGCTGCGCTGGGTTTGGAGTGAGGATGGTGCCAGTGGGCAATTCTTGGCACTTCTTGACCGCCTAAGAGTCTGTGACTCTGTGTAAGGGTCCAGCGGGGCCAGGGATGACCCAGGCCACCCTGATAGTGCTTGGGAGCCTCCAGGGATACACCCAGCAATGTTTGGGGAACATTCTGGTACCAAGGATCAAACTGGGTCTGACCATGTACAAGGTATGTGAGCTCCGGCCTCTGAGTAAATTTTATTTTAAAATATTGGGGCTGGGGGCTGGGGGCTGGAGCAATAGCACAGCAGGTAGGGCATTTGCCTGGCACACAGCCAACCCAGGTTCGATTCCCAGCATCCCATATGGTCCCCTGAGCAACCGCCAGGGGTGATTCCTGAGTGCAGAGCCAGGAGTAACCCCTCTGCATTGCCGGGTGTGACCCAAAAAGCAAAAAAAAAAAAAAGTTTGGACTGGAGAGTTAGTCCAGCAAGCAGATAGTCCAGCACGCAGGGCACTTTACTTGCATGCAGCCAACCCAGGTTCAGTCCCCAGCACTGCCAGGAGTAATTCCTGAGCTCAGAGCTAGGAGTAACCCCTGAGCATCACTGGGTATGGCCAAAGTAAACAAAACTAATGTATAGTATTTCTGATGAGTTGGATATTGAAGGCCAAGATTCATCCAAGGTGGACTTAGGTTTCAGGTTTGTACAGCCAGACACACAGCAGGGCAATTTGCTGAAACATGGAATCAGCTATTTGAAAGAACTTTAATTTTTCGTCTCTTTAGACATTTAAATGGTGATCTCATATATAATGAATCCTTGAGAGTTTGCTTTCAAAATAGACGGTTTCCCTTCTCTTACATGACAGCACAGGCCTTCCTTTTGTTCAGTTAAATTCCTCTTATACCCTGTATTTGTTCATGTTACAAATATTTATGAATTGCGTGTTCTGTATCTGGTATTGTTCTAGAGGGGAGGAATGTATGGATGGATAAAGTAGGTTAAAAATTCTACTTCTGATGGAGCTTAAATTCAAATGAAGGGAGACACATATTTAAACCGTCAGCTGTAGGGCCGAAGGACAGCACAGAGGTTAAGGTCCTTACTTGCCTTGCTTGCTTGTACCATCCCTTGT